GGAGATGCACTTGTTCACGCTCGGGCAACGTGGAACGGCGGTGTTGCTCTACACCTTCCCACCACTAGACTAACCAACAGAGACAAACTGCTGCATATTGTGTGCCACATGTGCATCCCCGCACACTGCCGTCCAACAAATGGTACTTGCGCGCTCTCACCCGATGGTAGCCCCCGTCGGCGATGAGCCATCCCCCCGTGTGCTCCGTCACGTCGCCGGTCTCGTCGTACATCTCGTACTTGTAGCTCACCCACGGCTCCTCCCCCTCAACCCGCCGCACGNTAGGTGCTCTCAACACGTCGGAGACCCTCTCCCTCCGGGAGACGTATCCAGGTGCGCCAAAGACCAGCGGCGAAGCAGTGGCAGAACCGGTGAAACGACTGCTCCGCCGTTGTCTGGCTCATCAACGAGAAGTGTGCGACATCAGCAAAGCAGTTCCCTCTCCCTAGTACTTAAAGCACCCCGAGCACCTGCAAATTGAACATGAATCGGGCCAGGTGCGTGGAAAAAAGGTACAAGTGAGTGTGAAACGCCTAAGGTTCTTGTTCACGGTGGTGTCATCCAACGAGCGCATGCGTGCGGTAGATGTCGCGGCTGCTGGTGGAACAAGCACATGCATAGCGGGTGTTGGAGCTGCTGCTACCCCCTGCCTCTCAAACACAGAGTTGTAATAAGCCAATGACTATCACGCGGGGACGCTTGCGTGTAGTCGTACATACGTCTCAAACGAGCATACACAAAATGGCACACCAGCCCCAAGCGCGCCGCTGTGTGCGGACGGCCAAATCCTTCTACCGCCTGTCTGAAGACTACTGCTGTTGAGCACGAAGTACACAGTACTGCGTGGCGCTTCTTCGCTTACTTCTGAATGGAACAAGCCTCTGCTTTCAATGCACCTCGTATGCATCGCAGTTGCCGCTGCTGTCGTGTAAATTGACTTCGACCCGAGGCGGGTGTTCAGTGCTCACGGGTGGTAGGATAACGAGCGCGCACGGAATCTGTGTGCAATTCAATTGCAACACCTGCCCGACCCACTCACACGCGCCCCCACCTCTTCGACAAAACAAGCACACACACTGAAACACAGCCAGGGCTAATAATCGTGAACAACAGCACACACCTTCAGTTCCAAGGGGACGCACAGGCTCACGGAGACGTCGTGTTCCCTTGCAGGGAACACAGGACGAACCATCTCAACGAACTCGAGGAAGAACTCGTACGGGACGCGGAAGTCTGCTCTGAAGGCCCTCGCTTCTCGGCTGTGCTGGGCTAAGTTGTGGCTGCACCTCAGGCTCTCCATCTGCGCCAATCGCAAGCCCCAAGCCGACTTGTTGTAGTCCTGTCGTGGACGACTTTCACCGGTGCAGATGGCTTCTGCACTCCAGCCGTCATCGTCGGGGTCATCCCACCACTCGTGGTGGCATTGCTGCTCTAGAACATCCTCGAACAAGTCGTTGAGCTGCATACTCATGGTGTGTAGGCTGTGTNGGGGGGGTGCGGAAGATGCGGTGCAATTTGACCCCCCCCGCCGACAAGATTTGGAGAAGGGCTGGCGCGACCAAATCTTGGCGAAATATTTGGGCAAAAGGGGGCTCTTTGGTGTCATTCCAAATCTTGCCAAGATTTTGAGGCAAGATTTGGACTCCATAACAAGTGTACATTCGAGATATTTGTTGAATCGACCCCCCCTCCCCCACCAAAAATCAAGATTAAGCGGCGAATGGTGGCTGCCCTTGCCCCCTCATGACAATTTCTGTTTGGTGTGAACACGGCGGCGGAAAATAACGCAAGATAAGATGTCCAAAGCTCTTTGGTTACTCGACAGCAGAAGGTAGAAGGGAGTGGCGGTGCCGAACATGGGGACGCTGGAACCATCTCGTCTAGAGCTCCTTGAAGANTTTTGGGCAAAAGGGAGCTCTTTGGTGTCATTCCAAATCTTGCCAAGATTTTGAGGCAAGATTTGGACTCCATAACAAGTGTACATTCGAGATATTTCTTGAATCGACCCCCCCTCCCCCACCAAAAATCAAGATTAAGCGGCGAATGGTGGCTGCCCTTGCCCCCTCATGACAATTTCTGTTTGGTGTGAACACGGCGGCGGAAAATAACGCAAGATAAGATGTCCAAAGCTCTTTGGTTACTCGACAGCAGAAGGTAGAAGGGAGTGGCGGTGCCGAACATGGGGACGCTGGAACCATCTCGTCTAGAGCTCCTTGAAGAACAATCGTTTGATTTGTGCATCCTTCTGGAGAACCGAGCGTTGAAAAGCAATACAGCGGTGTCGAATCTTTCGGCACCTACCCGGCGCCTGTAACGAATGCATGGCGGTACTGCTACCGCCGGTGGGCCGCCTTATGTGTACCAGGAGCGACAAGAGAGCACATACCCCAGGGAAACGGTTGATGGCGTCTGAATACGCCATCACGAAGTGCATTGTCGTGTGGGTTGTGTGGGATCTTATGCGGTTCCATTGCTTGCTCCGAGATTAGTTTGTTCTGTGTGGGCTCAAGTTGACCCGCGCCAAGAATTTTGCCACCGGGCGTGGTCTTGCGTGGGGGTGTGTGCCACCGTTCCACCTTGTGTCGTATGCAATATTGTAGTGCAGCAATGGCGATTTTACCGTGGAGTACTACGCCTGCAGGCAGAATACTGCTTGCCCATGATGTCCTGACGTTGCGTACCCTCGAGACTGTGGTGAGGGACGCCCACGGGGAGATGGAGCGCGAGAGGAGCAAGGGGGAGAGGCGCGAAGTGGAGCTCGCTCTCGCCGCGTCCGGCATGGGCNAGCTGGCGGCCAAAATCGTGACGGAGAGAAGAAAAAAAGTGACGTGTTCAACGACGACCCCGGCGGATTTTGCCGCTACTACCAGTCCGAGCTTCACACCAACGAGCAGTATGGTCTCCAGCAGAAACTGCGGGGCGCGCGTTCGAAAAGGGGCGCAGCGGAACGCCGCTCGGGCGGCGGCAGCCGCGGTGGCGGCGGTAGCCAGCAAGGGGGTAGACCGCCGCCGGGGTCAGGCCGCGGTGGCGGCCGATGGGTGCGGCTAGAAGGGCAGCAGAACCACACCGGTCATGGTGGCGGTGGCTGGAGCCAAGCCTCACCCACCCCGAGACCTCTTCGTAGACGTGGGCCGGTGGTCGTCTGGGGCGTCACCCGGGGGGTCGTGGGCCCGCGGGACGCNTAGACCGCCGCCGGGGTCAGGCCGCGGTGGCGGCCGATGGGTGCGGCTAGAAGGGCAGCAGAACCACACCGGTCATGGTGGCGGTGGCTGGAGCCAAGCCTCACCCACCCCGAGACCTCTTCGTAGACGTGGGCCGGTGGTCGTCTGGGGCGTCACCCGGGGGGTCGTGGGCCCGCGGGACGCCACAGCAGCGACGGGCGTGCCGAGAGGGAACGGGCAGAGAGAGGCCCGGGGCACGCGCGTTCTGGCCACGGAATAGAGCAGGCGTACGTTGTGTACTACGCCCACGATGATGGTGGCTACTACGAAGACTACGGCGACTACGACGACGGCTATTATTGCGACGACGGCTACTACGACGCCGGGTACGCCTACTACGCCGGCGGTTGGGACAGCTACAGCTACTCCTTAGGGTACGAAGACAGCCGTTCATCTGACGGCGGCATCCACTACGTCTACTACCGTCCTGCCGGCGAAGATTCGTCATCCGAGCAGCAACGTCAGCCCCCCCTCGCGAGCAGCAGCAGCACCGCTTCCTCCTCGTCCTCTACTCCTTCTCCTGGCGCGCCTCCATCTCCGGGCTACCTCCACCTCTGCACGGCACAATCGGTGCCCCTAGGCGAGTCTCACCCTGACGATTATATTAGTAGGATAGGAGTGACGATTAGAGTAGAGTCTGCTGCGTCTGCTTCGTCTTTGTTGAGTGTGAAATCTAGTGAGGGGCCGCCTGGTAGCGAGAGATGGGTAGCTGACTCAGGAGCCAGTAACAGTTTCACCAACAGCAGCCTACACATGTATGACCTACAAGAGATCCCCGCCAGTAGGAAGTATGTCGTTGTAGGTGATGGTCGACAGCTAGAAGTGCAAGCCATCGGTAGCATCAATCTTAGTTTCTTTCAGGACGATGAGAATGGTGAGAAAACGACGATGTGTGTGAAGCTCACTGACGTGTCTGTTGTAGATCTGTTCTAGAGAGCCTGAGTTTCAACTTGTTCTCAACGCATGCTGTTTCTCTGAAGCAACCAATCCTTTACGACGAACGTGGTGCAACCCTACAAAACGGACTGCTCTTTGCTAGAGAGACAAAAGCGTCTGCAGCGTATGCCACGCGATTGCCGTGCGACCCATGCGCGATTATTGTAGACCCTGCTGCTTTGTTCGCATTCGTGACTGCCCCCGATTCCGCCCCCGCCGTTGGCTCCACGCGTTCCCCTTCCCAAAAGGGGGGCTTCGCGAAATCATTGGTGTCCATGTTGCGTACTCCTCCCGCTAGCTCAGCTAGCGTAGTGCCTTCGGCTGATAGCGTCCCGCCCACTGGTCCCACCAGTGTAGTACCTGCGAGGGCGTGTTCACCTGGACCTGTGTGGACCGCTGGTGCCTTCCCTGGGCGGCAACCTCTACCTGTTCGTCGCCGTGGACAGCGCCTCGCGGTGGAACAAGGTCTACGGTCTCCGGCGGAACGCGCTGGCGGCAACGAAAAGGCTGCTGGCGGGCGTGGGGCGGTACGACCTCGGGCGCGTCGAGTGTTTCCGCGTCGATAACGGCACCGAGTGGACCCGCGGCGACTTCCGGCGCTTCTGCGACGACAACGGCATCGGCGTCGAGTTCACACCTCCTGGCGTTCCGCAGTACAACGGCGTCGTCGAGAGCGCCATCTAGCGCATAATGAAGACCGGCATGGCCGCTCGCCGTAGCGCTGCCCGTGTGCTCAACGTCGACTTCGCCTCCATCCCCGGCCTCGACGAGCGCGGTGACCGTCTTTGGATGGAATCGGCGAAGCGGGCCGCCGATGCTCTCAACCAGTCGGCGACCAAGGCCAACCCCGCACGGCGCTCGCCGCACGAGATGTTCACCGGCGAGCAGGGGCCGTTCCGCGTGCTGCCGTTCTTCCAGCCCGGCTTCATGCGTGAGGATCGCCGCACCAAGCTCGACGACCAGGCCACCCTCTGCTACTACCTGAAAGACGGCGACAACCACCCGAGCGGGACCGTCAAGGTCCTCAAGGCGTCCACTGGCCGCGTCGTCTACACCAACCACGTGTCGTGGGTGACGTCGGCGCCAGCCGGTGAGGGGGTTTCCGCTGGTATCACCGCTGCGCCGACACCCCCCCCATTCACGCCGCCGGTCGTCTCGATCAACTTTGGCCCAGCACCGACGCCTTCTACCGCAGCACTGCCGCCGCCAGCGCCCACGCCGTCGCCCGCTCCCGCTCCCGCCGCCGCTTCGCCCCCTGCCGCAACGCCGCCACCAGCGACCACGCCGCCGCCCGCTCCCACGCCTTCACAACCGCCCTCTGCCACTTCGCCGTCACCATCGGCGACCCCCGCTCCTGGCAATCCGTCCTCTGCCTCTCCACCGTCACCGTCGGCGACCCCCAATCCAGACCAGCCGCCGCCGCCGCCGGACCCCGCGATGCCCCCGCTTACGGCTCACGCCATGCGGCAGCTTCGCCCGGGTACAAAGGCCGAGGGTATGACAGACCCGCGGCTGCCAAGCCGTACGAGATCGGGCACGAGGCACAGCACAGGACTCATCTCGATGCTAGACAGGAACACTCTGGTGTCGATGCTGGAGGCTCGGAGCGCGGTGGACGAGGAGCGCAGGGAGCTGGGGGGGGCGGAGGCCGGAGAGCTGGGGGGGGCGGAGGCCGAAGAGCCGGGGGGAGCGGTGACCGGAGGGCAGGCGGGAGCACTCGCAGCTATGGACCTGGGGGCTGGAGGAGCGGGCTTTCCACTCGCATTTGCCACGCTCNTGACTCATCTCGATGCTAGACAAGAATACTGTGGTGTCGATGCTGAAGGCTCGGGGCGCGGTGGACGAGGAGCGCAGGGAGCTGGGGGGGGCGGAGGCCGGAGAGCTGGGGGGGGCGGNAGCTGGGGGGGGCGGAGGCCGGAGAGCCGGGGGGAACGGGGGCCGGAGAGCAGGCGGGAGCACTCGCAGCAGTGGACCCGGGGGCTGCAGGAGCGGGCTTTCCACTCGCATTTGCCACGCTCCTCGCCAACCGGGAAGACATCGACGCCACGCTGCGAGACCAGCGCCCGCCGGAGCAACGCCCTGACCTTCCTCACTGCCAGGCTAGCGACCCTCGTGTCCCCAAGAGGTACAAAGAGGCCATGGCGTCGGAGCACCGGCACCATTGGAGCGACTCTATGCAAAGGGTTTGATGGCTTGTTGGAAGCGGGGACTTTTACTCCGGCGAAGTAGCAACTAGTGGAGAACGCAATTAACGCTAAGTGGGTATTCGATTGGAAGGCAGATGAGTTTGGATGGCCCACTAAGGTTAAGTCGAGACTTGTAGCGAGAGGTGATATGCAGAGAGAGTACATTGACTTTGGAGAGTTGTACGTGCCTACCATTTCTGTTTCGTGTGTTAGGATGTTGGCTGCTTTGGCGTGTGAGTTGAACCTCGACTTTGTGTCATTTCGATACTGAGCAAGCTTTTGTGCGTTCGGAGTTGGAGGAAGACGTGTACATGCGTTTGCCGCAGGGATGTGGAGCTCTATC